GAAGGCAGAATTACCTTCGGAATACTGGAGCCTCCTGCAGTTGGCAGTGTAAGCAGAAGCAGAGCTTTCTCTATCAGAGTGTAACTGTTTACTTCAAAGAGTCGCCAAACTGAGTTTCCAGACTCCTATTTGGAATTTTCTTCAACAGAAGTGAAACAAATGTGTCACCAAAGGAATACAACAAGGACAAAATGCAAGCTTTCGAGCCAAGACTGGGATTCTGGAAAACTGTTGACTACAGTGAGCTGGACGACTTCGTAATACTCAAGCATTTTTCTGATTAAGTGAATATTAAAATTAGTGGGTACCATTTTAAGACACAGTATCACATAATGAACTCTGTCAACATTTAGAAAACCTGTTATTTTCCACATCACCAAGGTACGAGGTCACAGACATGCACAGGTAAAACTCCATTCAAAGGGAAAGAGCAGCCACTACTGACAGAGGACAGAAGCGGTGAAGCTCCTCTGGATATACTGTGAAGTCTGAGCCAGTGGGGGTTGTTACAGGTGGGACATGAGACACTACAGTAAAGGAAGTGTGTGCCACAGCGTGTGGACTGAACCTGTGGGGAGCTTCGGGCAGCGGGGTCTCCCTTCCCAGCCTGGGAGGGGCTGGCCTGGCCAGCGGAAGGACAGAGGCGGGCCTCTGGAGCGCAGGTGCTAAGCTGTGTTAGGACCTGGACGTCAGGCCCGATGAGGCTGCTGAGGAAGTGGGTTGGGGGATCAGAGGGGCTGAGCAGGAGACGCCTGTGGGAGCCCTGGAGTCAAAACCATCACCACGCACTGGTCCAACACAGCAGAGTTACACAGCAACCAACCTTAAAAAAATTATTATTAATTTTTAATCTTTTTGAGACAGGGTCTTGCCTTGCAGACCCAGGCTGGCCTCTAACTCACAACAATCCTCCTGCCACAGCCTCCCAACTGCTTGGAATTACAGGTGTGCACCACCAGGCCAGGCAAGAAATTCCCACTTGTCAGAGTAGGCTATCACAGAATATTCACAATTATCTGAAAAGGCTATTAGACACTTATCCCTTTTTCATATTTTGTTGTTGTTTTGAGTCAGAGTCTCACTCTGTAGCTCAGGCTGGCCTCAAACTCACAGCGATCCTCCTGCCTCAGCCTCCCAAGTGCTGGGCTTACAGGTATGTGTTACCATGCCAGGCTTGATCTCCAACCTTTGAGTTTAAGCAATTGCCCTACCTCAGCCTCCCAAGGAGCAAGGTCTACAGGCATAAACCACTGGGCCTGACTCAGCTGAAAAATCTTCATCGTAACTTCAAAATTTAGCCAGGGAGATAGCTCAGTAGATTAAGCGTTTGCCTGGCAAGCGCAAGGTCGTGAGTTCAACCCCCGGTACCGCAAAATAAATAAATAAATACTTCAAAATTTAAAAATAATTACCAAGATGTTATTAATCATATTGAAGAGCAAATCATATGAACTTTCTGATGTATCTTTTAACTTCTCTTCACATGAATTGATTATACATTCATTTAAACTCCTGCCGACAATACATATACACGGTTTGTCCTGTCCTATTTTAATCAAAATCTTTCCCTTTTTTACATTGTAGAGGTGGAACCAGGCTATATCATTGGACTGCCAACCAACCGGTGGTCAGCCTGTTTACACCCAGCGAGCCAATCAGCATGGTCCTGGGTGTGGGAGGCCCACCCTGGGCCTGTCAACAGCCCAAGAGCACAACCCGAGAAGCGGGTGAGAGGCCCTTAGGAAGGCAGTTTGGAGAAGCTGCTGGAAGCTGCTGGTTCTCCTGGACTCTGCTGCTGGAGGAGCTCATCGTGCCGGCTTTCCTGGCGGGAACTCAGCTTTCCTCACTGATGGAGGGGCTCGGGACCTCACTGTTGCTGTGGATGCTGTGGTACCTTTGGGGAGCTCTGGTTCTAATCTTGAGCATCGCAAAGCACTTGACTGTTCCCCCCATGCGCACCACACCGAAGGCGAATCACGGTGGACTAAATCTGCTGCTGTGATGATACCAAGTCTCGGTGGGCTCTGTGAGCAGGTGTCTCGTCCCTTGCATTACATGTGACTGCGGTATCAGTTTTGGGCAAGCTGCTCAAAATTTCAAACATCTTTGCTGCTGTGTCTTTGTATGTGTGCATACACAGTTTAACACAGTTGTATTTTTTGCCATCTTAAGCATTTAATGTAAATCCTTAGACATATGTAAAGCATTAATTTGGATTTATTAGAATTCAGCAGCTATAGAGTGGGCCGGGGACATAGTTCAGCAGTATAGTGCCTGCCTGGCAAGTACAAGGCCCTGATTTGATTCC